GTCTCGTCCCGGTTCATAATTTACCGGGACACAAGTTTTAAAGTCCGGGACAGAAGTCTTGTCTCGGTTCATACGTTTATTCCGGGACAAATTTTACCCTCTGTCCCGTTATTTTTTTCTCGGAATTTTCTCGTCTCGTTTCGTCTGTCCCGGTTCATTTCGAGAAAATTATTTCGAGACGCAGGAGTCTACAATAAAGTATCTTGGTCATGGAAATCAGCATAGCAGCATTATCATACACAAGAAATTGGTTTAAATCTGGAGGAGATGAGGAAATTAAAAATGAACTGATTGTAAAAAATCTGTGGTTTGTCATAAACTCATTAGGGCCATAAACCTATAATTGACAATACCTACTTGATATTGTTAATAACTAATAGCAATAGCATCCCAGCCAGGCCAGGGTGCAGAGGGTGCAAGCAGCAGTGTTGCCAAGATATGGATTTTTAGCCCTAAGCATTGCCATCCATTTTCAAGATGCTTTGCCAGGTAATTTTTAATGAGGAAATGCTGTTAACAACTTTGATAGTATATCCCTTACTCTCCACGCACTGCAACACTTAGTCATTGCAACTTATTTCCGGACAAGCTTCACTGCATCCTGATCCATCTAACATACCGTTACCCAAAACCTTACTGTGTGTGCTTGCCGTCTTTCAGACTTGCAATAATTGCAATGATTTCCAAGTAATTTTTAAAATGCAATAATTTCAATCCAAATGTGTTGGCAAGATCTTCTGAAGGCATATATTTTGTTGCTGGTGCATTGCCAAAGATCTTTTGATATTCACACACTCTCTGCACCCTGGCTACCAAGCTACCACCTAGCCAAGCAAACCAGCAATCATCTCCTCCTGGCTCTTGCTCTGCCTGTGTAGCTAAAAAAAAGGGCTTTTATAACACCAATAAAAGTGACTGCAAGCTGTATTTACGTATGTGTGTGCTATAGTTTGTCCATGCATAAGTTTATGACTTCTAAAAAATTTAAAAAATTTCATAATTTTGATGAAGGATGTTAATTGGTATTTCATTCAATTCAGCCATTTGCATAGATTTTTCTTGAAAAAGGGAAGCTTTAAAACAAAATTATCTGTGAGTTTATTTCTGTGATGGTATTTAAGGGGACCGTCTTGCGCAAATAATAAATCGTATACCTTTGGGCGGATCATTCTGAAATTCAGTACACATATGTAAAATGTAAAACAAAATTGTTTTTGTTCATGTGAATTTTTCGAAAAAAACGAAAGAAAATGTGAAATTAATAGAAAATGAAAAAATAATGGGGTACTCTAGAAATCTATCTACTCCTACAGTATATATGCTACAAGGTCGAGACACATGTCATTCGATCCGTAAAGACCATATCTAGCGTTCACGTGTTCAGTTTTTTCAATTTCGAATTTGTTCCTGATGGAGGGGGATTTAAAGAAAAAAAATTCTCCCCCCCATCCCCCTTTTTCCAATATATAATCCAAACTATAATGAAATCGGAAAAACTATACACGCAGTTTGTAGAGCTATTCCTTACAAATCGAATGATATATCTCCCATTGCTGTAGCTTAAAAACTGTAGGAGGAGATAGGTTTGCCGTGACAATAAGTTGAACTTTTCAGGAGGGTGCGACAAAGTCCCGCGCGTCTTGAAATAGGCACTCAATGTAGCATGGATACCAAACTACAGGCTTCTGTAGCTTAATCCACTCAAGGATGCTAGCAGCAACTTGTAGCACACCTCTCCGTACAAAGTTAGGAGGGTGACTGAGCTCAGGTGCCAGATACACCAATATATGTAGTCTTGCCACTCTAATTTTTTTAGGTCTATTTACTGAAGGAACTCCACCCCCCGCCCCCCGTTAAAGCCCGGCCGTGTGCGTCAATATTGCCTTACATGGATCGCAGTAGTATCGTTGGAAAGCTCAGAATGTCAGCTTTAAGATGAGACTAAGCATGTAACTGCAGCACAACTCAAGTAGAAACTATATTCAAAGATTTCAGCAGCTAATTACTTTATATCTAATTAGTTAAAGGACTCTCCCACCTGCTTCTCTTTAAAGAGACGTCATGAACGTAAATATTGGCGTACAGTGATGGCAGTGGTACCATTGGAAAGAGCAGAATTCCAGCTTTCAGATGAGCACAAAAAACCGGAAAATGCCAAAATTGAAAATTTTAGGGTAGACGGGCCCCTTAATGAGTTTATCTGAATTATAATAATGGTCAAGTTGTATTTTCTTTGCTCTTTGTTTACAGTTCCACTTTCACTTGTGTGCATTTATGAGCCATACAATGGACACAATTCCATAGTTTCAGCTGAATAATGAACACATTTTAGTAAAAAGAGAATAATTTCTTTGGGGGTTCTACTGAGAGAGGTGGAAGCTGGAACTTGAAGGAATGGGTATTGAAGATATTTCAGTACTTCTGGAACCTCATCAGGATATATATTTCCCTGGCCAAGCAGTCATGGGGCAAGTGAAGGTGCAATCGTCATCAGATACATCTTGTAGAGGTAAGGAAAAATTGTACTTGTGTTGTGTATGGGAAAAACTAGCAAATTCTTCCATAAACATTAATGCAATACTTTATGCTTGCATTCTTTGTCATATGCAATTTGTAGCTCTGTATGCTGTATGAACACTTTCAAGTAGGTATATTAATTGGGTGTCATGATCACAAAGAAAATTGTGTAATTCAAAGTCATTCAATCAATTAAGATAGATATTCTTCACAGTCTTGTATATACCATGTAAGGCTGAGTTAACATAGTGGCAAGGGAGGACATTTTTTGTTGCCATTCTTCAAGAGTTCAAGTTCATTTTTGAGTCCTATAAGTAGACTAGTAACCCAGCATTGTCATTAATAATAAATAGATTGAAATATTTAGTAGGTAATAAATTGAAAATGAACTGATTTTAAAAAATCACTGGTTGGCCACTATGGCTGAGTAGTTTAGGCAGTGATTGATGCAATTTAACAAATTCTTAGCAATTTTGATTTATTTATGTGCAGCCATTCTGGTTGAATTCAAAGGAAAAGCCAAAGTTCATTGGACAGTCAAAGAAGGTGATAACACCAAGCACTTCATAAGCCGGGAGCGATACTTCGAATTCAATACAAGTCTTTGGTCATCTCACTGTGAGTTATGGATGGCTTGAATGCATGCATTCCAAGTTAGTTTAGTTATAGCTTTGTCAGAGGTGGAAGCTGTCTGTTGTGGTGGTAGGTATCCCCCAAGATTGAGAAGTAGGTATACAGAGAGTGAGTATAGGCATGATTCATGTTGAGTCTGTTATGAATTTGAAATGATACTTTTCAATAACAAACTTTTTATTTCCTTATAACAGATGGTAAAATGCACCTTCAGATCAAAACTGATCAAAGTAATGAATACTTATGTAATGCAAGCATCAACTTACAAAAATGAAGAACGGAAAAATATTCAAGAACCTCTAGGTTGAAAATTCAAGATAATTGCATCAATGAAGTTTGCAATTTATAACAAGCAAACTCTCAGTACTATAACTAAAGTGGCATCTTGAAGTTGACTACCAAAAAGTAACAAAATTATGGGTCACTTAACACAGTAATTTGAAGCAAGTGAATATATATCAACAGGATGAATTTGTAAAGAACATAAATGAAGTAGGTGACTAAACTTGCAAATCCCTTCATCTAAATTAGTTGATTGAATTGGTGTATTAACTGGACAAAAATTACTTCCTATATAAGCAAAATTATGTTTAGAAATATTTTATTAATTGTTCTTCTCATACATATCACTATTTTACTCATTTTTAATATCCATGTACAGTCTGCATTAGATAGAAAATAAATTTTCTAAACACAGACATAATGGGAGAATAAGTGTTGAATGTAATAAATTTAAAACCATTCATGGGAGTCCGAAAAGTTGGGCTACAAAAGCAACACAACTCCTCCTGCACAACACCCCTTAAATCAGATTTTCAGGGCCATTCACAAATATTTCATTTTAGCAAATAAGCAAGTAATATCTGAGCTTTTCATTATTTAACACAAGTTTGCTAGTTTGTGTTGATTGTAAGCTAACAAGCTATTGATCATGAATATTTTTTTCTCTTGAACAAGCTGTTCATTTACAGTTTCTGAGAAGCTGCCATCTGGAAACCATGCGTGGCCTTTTAACTTTCAGCTTCCCTTCAACATTCCCTCTTCATTTGAGGGCACCGTTGGCTACATCCGATACAGCATCAAGGCCAATGCAGATATTCCAATGGGAGTTGACCACAAGAAGAAAATTTTTATCAGCATCAACTGTCCTTTTGATCTCAACTATTCTGAAGCAGCTAAAGTAAGTAATCATGCACAACACATCTCTAGAATCAATTGGCTTTTTGGTCACAAGTTTTGTTGTAGATAGGGTGAGTAATCATGGAGCAGCCTTTAGCAAAATTAATGTTGCATCCACTGCATTTCCTTTTAGCCTACTGAGTTAACAATAAATTAGCCTTGCAGTCATTTTGATCTCATTTTATTCTGTAGAGCCTTGGAAAAGTATCTATCAGGGTTGGCAATGATTAAATCAAAATGATTAAATCATGTGATTAAATCACTTGATTTTTTTATAAAAAAATCATGATTTTTTTAGTTTTTGTATATTGAAGCCAGTTAAATGGTCAATATTTAGCTCATTACCTTGCTCCATACAAACTTTACAAAGCTAATGAATAGACATACCGTAGTACCGGTACCAATAATTGTTTACCCAAAAATCCCTAAGTGGTAAACACCACCTTGGCCTGTTGGCCATTATTGAAGGCAATAAGTGCCCTTTTTAGCCATCCATTATGATCCATATACTGTTATTGTTAATAGGCTAATTGCAACATAAAAAATAACACTTCAAAAAGACAAAAAAAGTTGAAGAAATCAAAAAAATCAAAAAAATAATGAAAAAATAAAAAAAATCATTGATTTTTTATTTTTTTGATTTAAAAAAAAAAATAAAAAAAAATCGCCAACCCTGGTATCTATTCTCCATAGAAAATACTCTAGACTAAAACAATTTTATTTGGGGATTTTCCCACAGCTAATTAATTATTTCCAAGGCAAATGAGCATTTTGTTTGAATTCAATACATGTAACTATCTAGACACTGAATGTCACATGTTCCCAGTGCTTATGGTAGCTAGGAAAGCATTTTTATTTTTGTAATACATACCGTGTGTAACTGGAAACACCACTGCAAAGTTGGAATAGTAAGGAGGATTGTGCTGAATTAACAGAAGATTTTTACTGTCGTGCTGACTTTGCAGTAGATTCTGCTACAAGTTTAACACATGAACTAAGAATCACGCTTTTGTCCTACTCTAAATTCTCTTGCATTGGAGATGGGAGGAATAAGCATGAGGGAAAATTTCTGAATTATACTGATCTCCAAGTGGTGTACTAAATCCTTCAAACTAGGGCTCACAATTTATTCAGTTGAGTTGGATAAACATTATTCCTCACTGACAGTTCTCAAGCTCCAGGAGACCGAATTACTACTTCAGAGGCACAAGTGTCAACAAGTGGTGAAATAGCATGTAATGTGAATTCATAGCGTATAAGTCAGAGTGTCAGACAGTGAGTGACACAGGTAGAAGCCATGACAAAATGCGAAAAGCCAATCACAGTTACTGGGGGTATGATCCCCAATACAATGGCGAGAAAAATGCAGAATTATCTGGTCACAGTTACTGGAGGTACAAGCCTCAATGCACTGCTGAGAAAAACGCAGATGAATTAGCAATTCGCAATTACTGGGTGTATGAGCCCCAATACACTGCTTAAAAAATGCAGAAGAATTAGCCAGTACCAGTTACTGGGGGGTGTGAGTCCCAATACACTGGTGAGTAAAACGCAGGAGAATCAGCCAGTCCAAGTTACTGGTGGTACAAGCCCCAATACACTGCTGAGAAAAATGCAGAAGAATTAGCCAGTTACTGTTACAGTGGGGATCAGCTCCAATACGTACCCTGCTGGGAAAAACTAATGAAATGGTACAAGCCACCCCCAAGACACAGAAGGTTAGGTGGCAGTTACGCCCAACAGACAACAGGACTATCAAGGGAATAAGCTGCTGTTCCAAGTACTTGAGTGCAGAGGATATTAACCGTTACAACACGGTTATTAGTCACACCAAAACGCCACCAGCAGCTGGGACTAATCAAGAACTCTAGACTAACCAAGCCTACACCATATTCAGTCTGTTAGTGGNTATGTCCACAACTACAGCAGCCCAGATCTGGCTCTCTCAATTTGAGTCAATACAAGTGCTTGGAACCCAACCCAGTCAGACTGAGCACACAAAATTCCTTTGCGAGGGGTAACTCAACCAAAATAACCTTACAACAATATCTTGTATACAATTTGCATGAAACGGGTTGTTAACATCTTCTACATGGAAAAAATAGATGATATAATATAGTACAACAAAGTAAAACCATATTTTTATCATTTAGCCACATATTGATAGGTGAAAGTTGGTATATGATAGAACAACTATCAAAGATACCTCAGGAATTTAAAAGCAAAGAAAACAGCCAGACTGTCAATTTATGTTTTTATCTTCGAAGTGAATTTATTTTTCTAATTGATTCTGCTTCTCTTATAGGTTTTGAACTTTTGAACTGACGATGGAGCTGGACTCCGAAACGTTGTCATTCTTAAGAAATGGTTAATATTCTGGCTGTTTTCTTTGCTTTTAAATTCCTGATTAACTTGCGATATAAGCAATGTAGTAATTTTATTACTCAAAGATACCTAACTCGCGAGCACATGAGTAGAGAACTTCCTAGCACATCGCCTAGATAAATAAAACATCGAGTAACGCATTATCAAAGTGCAAGAGATGTAATATCACTTATTAGAATCACAGTTATAAATAATCAAAGCTTTTGACAAAATGATCACAGATTATAACCAACTTTTCAAAAAAACATATAGCTCATAGATGGCGACGTAGCCGTACTCGTCTAGACGGTGGTATCATATATTGACAGCACTTATTTACGCACAAAACGGTAAATTAGTGCAATTTTCACAATAAAAACACAGTCAGTTAGACAAAATAATTGCATACTAAAGTCAATAAATCAAAAATTCGGTCACAGTTTACAAATAAAGTATTTAAATAAGTCTACATGTGGCTGGGGCTGGAGGAGACGAGTGTTGCTTAGCAGGCGATTGTAACGTAACCCTCTACCGCCATATGTCACTCTCCGGGTATATAACTTTCAACTTAAATTATACGTAAACTATTGAGTGTAGCAACCTGAGGACGTTTCTACGCAATAGAGAACATTTTAAAGTTATAGTACGTGGCGGCAACCATCGGTGCAAATCATTTTGCGCTCACCAGAACGTATCCATTTTGGGAAGTGGGCTTGTTACGATATTGTGTGTGCGGGAACTCTTCTTCTACGCTATCGTTGGTCACTTGCGGCGTACCACAGGGATCAGTTCTCGGCCCGATCCTCTTGTTATGTACTCCCGACGTATTGCATATAATTGATTCACATAGTTTGAATCCGCATATGTTCGCCGACGACACCCAAATTTATAGCTACTGTGCACCGGCTGACGCCGCAGCGTTGCAGGATCGAATGTCTGCCTACATGGACGCTGTTTCGGACTGGATGCGTTCCAACCGACTCCAGCTCAACGCATCAAAAACCGACCTTATTTGGTTTGCGACTGCTCGGCGCCAGCATCAGCTTCCGGCCAACCCTGTTCACGTGGGCAACGAGTTCGTCAAGCCTGCGCCCGCAGTTCGCAACCTAAGCATTCTGCTGGACTAAAAACTTTCAACGAACAGTCACATTGCCAAAGTCATCACTGCTTGCTTTGGCGTTCTGCGACAAATACGTAGCATCAGCCGCTGTCTTTCGAGGCTGGTCCTTGAGGCCCTTGTGGTGGCGCTCGTTCTGACCAGATTGGACTTTGGTAATGCCACACTTTATGGACTTCCGGCCACGGCAGTTAATAATCTGCAATGAACGCTGCTGTTAGACTCGTGTGCAATAAGCAAAAATTCGACCACGTGACGGCAATATTGCGCGATCTTCACTGGCTGCGCATTCAGCAGCGCACGCAATTCAAGGTCGCTGTTCTGACGTTCCGATGCCTTCACGGCCTGGCGCCTCCTTATCTCACTGAAGGTCTGCAGCTCGTGTCGGATCTGCCTTCTAGAAGACGACTGCGCTCGTCATCAACAGCGGACATCGTCGTACCATCCACACGTCTTTCTACCGTCGGCGACAAAGCGCGCCGCCGCCAGAACCTGGAACAGCCTGCCGGCTTCCGTAACTTCGGTTCCTTCGTTGCAGGTGTTTCGTGGACGCCTAAAGAGGGAACTATTTCGTAGAGCATATGAATCAAGTGCTTATGGTCATCTTATCCGTTCCCACCCTTTCTTGTGTCTATTTGTTTTTCGCTTGCTGTTAATCTTAAGAGTGACTTGCCCTCGAAGTTCGTTTGAACCAGACGCCACGATAAATGCTTCGTAGAATATTAATGACACGATATTGCTCCAGTTACTCCAATCAGGCGAGAGAGAGTTAACGCTATCGATAAATAATATCACCTTGAAAGAAGGTTCCTTGTTTTCATCACGAAATGAAAAAAATGCACATGTATTACTTTGTGATACATAAGTTAAATACTTTGACCTGAATCAGAAGCGAAACAATGTTATTCACAAAAAAATAGTTCACAAAAATTGTGTTCCATCACTTATATTCTCTAACAGCAAAGTTTTGATTCCAGCTTATCCCTAAAATATACAAAAGTATCTCTATTGCAGGTTCCTTTGGTGATACAAACAACTGACACGTCGTGCTGCCTGTGCTGCGTTAAAGGACCTGTAGATATAAACGTTAAATGTGAGCACTCGGGGGCGGTGGTGGGGGAGGGGTACCGCGTCAGGGGGGAGGTGACCAACAACGGCTCTAAGGTGGTGGGCTCAACGGTGGTCGCTCTATACCAGGTTCGCCTAATTTAAACATCTGAATCTGTTGAATTATTCTGAATTTCTTTTTTTTTTGCATTTTGCAGGCATTGTTTGAAGCTTGGTGTTGCTATTTAAATTTTCAACACCCATACTGAAAAATAATGCAAACTTGTGTGTGAATTTTCCGACGATATTCCTTACAGTAAGGTTTTGATAGATCGTCTCCTAAAACCATATTCAATGCAGTTCTTTTCCGTTACCACGTCATTCCAAGGAGCCATGAGCCTTTAACTCACTTGCGGGGAATGTAAAAATGCAGAACGATGTGCGATTTTGTCAATGGTACTAGAAATGATCTCTAATTCCAAACTATTTTTTTCTACAACTTTTTTAAGTTCTATATATTAATTTTGCAAGTTGTTGGTGATCATTTTGTCATCCATGATGCCACTCTAAATATATTTCCGCGTGCAGCACGTGACGTACCATCCTATATTTCCGCGTGCAGCACGCGACGTACCATCCTATATTTCCGCGTGCAGCACGTGACGTACCATCCTATATTTCCGCGTGCAGCACGCGACGTACCATCCTATATTTCCGCGTGCAGCACGCGACGTACCATCCTATATTTCCGCGTGCAGCACGTGACGTACCATGCGGAGAATCACACGGAGAAGAGCGAGAGCCTCGTGGTGAAGCTGACAAAGGGCCCTTTGGCCCCCGGAGACAGCTTCTTCTTCGAAGACGAGCCCCTGGTGGTGCCCCCCGTCGTGCCGGGGCTCCAGCACTGCAAGATTATGCGCCTCAGATATGTGTTCAAGGTAGTACAATTATCATGATATATTCCTATATTTTCAATTTCACTATTCTGTTGCTGATTTTAGCTACTATTTGTTCCTCTGATTTGCTTACTGTTAAATTTATTCATGAAGTACATTGCGAACTCCTAAATGTGAAGCCGAGGTCAGCTCCAACGCTGTGGCGTGTACGTCGTGCCCAGTCAAAATTAGAAGCAGTGTAGGAGCTGGGCTGGCGCTGAACCAAGAGCACGATATAAGCATGAGGGAAGCAGGAATCCAGCAAGGATGTCCGCTTATTACGGGGTTCAAAACGTTCTGCGTAAGGCCTTATTTGGGCGCTGGCGCTCGGCTGCAACGAATCAGTCCTGCCGGGCTCCGGCTCACTTACAGCCGACACGCCCCAAAATTGTCTTACGAAGTCCGCTAAAGATACTCTTAAACTAGACATATTTTTCAGCCTGAGCCCTCTCTTTATGTTAACGTAACGCCCATATAAGTGCGAGATCATCATCAATGTTGATTACCTGACGCACTTGAAACACTTCTTTATACAGTGCAATGCGTACTGTCGCGTTAAGTACAACTGGTCTAAGTTGCAGATTTTGATGAGTTTAAACTTAACGAGTAATGCTGCAGTGCCTGCCGTTCCTCCCCTGCCTCACGTATGAAGGTTACTCTCTAAGTGAACGTAAGTACTTACGCTTTATTTTCGTGTCTACGATTGGTGGATTTTGCTTGAAAGGCCGTCAATGATTGGCTGATGAACTTACGATCTCTTAACTTTTTTTGAAAGTATATAGCCCCTAAACAACTTAGATCGTTACCTTAGTTTAGTGAACCGTCCGATGTAACTTCCGGTACTTTCCAAAGCGTTCATTCACGCAAGGTATGATAACCTCAGCACATAACCATTTTCTGACGTGTGCCAAACGTACGTTCACTTAAGTACTCACATAAAAGAAGTTCTTAGTAAACAGAATCACTTCCACGAAGTGGACTACAATGAATCTCTTTGCTTTCTTTTATCAGACGTGCCATAATTTGCTTACTCTCACTGTATTTTGTTCGGTTTAGGAATACTTGTTTGATTATTGTATTGTTGTGCGAACTTGTAGTATATATAGTTGATGATTTTGTTCTACCTAATATTTTAATCGTATGTCTTATCCATGATATTAATCTATTTGCTCGCCGGTTTCATCGCTAATAATTAAGATCTGATTTAAGTTTTTGCTTGGATTATCTTTGTATTTACCTTGCAGTTTTATCTATATTCGATAGAAGTATTTTATATTATTATAACTGTTACCCACAAGTCGATTCGTAGCTAAATATTGTTGGTCAGTTCTTGTAAATTATATTACTAGGCTAAGTGGCTTTGAAACATGTGAAATAATTTTTATCGTGCAGTGCACATTGCAGTCGCCCTGATGATACTGGTACAAATTTATGAAATGAATGGCTAAAAATGTATGCAAATGAATCGTTAAAAAGTTTTACAAATGAAGGCGAATTTAGTCTGAGAACTCGTAACGTCCGCTCTTGTGCCTCCGTTGACACGCCGTGCAGGGTATTGTCTTCACATTTTAATGCTATATTTTCTACATATTGTTTACCGAGACCTTTTCGTCGTTATTTAGTACGCCTAATGTTAATAAATTCGTATATATTATAAACCTATGTACTGTGTAGGCATTGATTTAGTTCTATCGGATTTTTCAAATTTTTTGTTCTGCAACGAGAGCCTGCGATTACGGAAGTTTTTGATGCAATGCTCAACATGTAACTTAAGTTTAGCTGTAGCCCTCCTTCCACGTGTCGACAGTTGGTATGTTTATAGCCGAAATAAGTTCATCGGTAAACCAACAACATCAGTGAACTTGCAATGATGAAACATTGATACTATTAACACCATTGCACTGCATTATTTTTCTAGTGACTCGCAAATAATCAAACTAAAAATAATCGCGTTGAAGCATGTGCCATCGTTAATCGATATAATTACAGTTATTAATCGATGCAGTCTTTGACATCGTTCCTTGTATATAAGTTAAGAGAATCGATAAGGAAAGATAATAAAATCGGAATGAATCAACCGAATTCTTATGGATAACAGCCGGCTTTTTGCAAATTCTTGTAAGTTGTAATAGATAAAATGTTTTTGGAAGTGTTGACGAAGGCGCCATATATGCCCTGGGCATAGAAGACTTCAAAAACAGGAAAAATAAAAGAAAATTTAACGTTTTTTCATTAAATGTTTTGTGGACTAATGCCGTCATCAGTCATCTAGTACTACGATAATCTAATGGTAGAATAAAGCGATACTGACCGATTGATCGTCTATAGTGATACCATAATGGTATCTTGTATAGCGATACCATAAATGTATCGTCCATAGTGATGCCATAATGGTATCTTGTATAGCGATACCATAAATGTATCGTCCATAGTGAAACCATGATGGTATCAATTAACTTCTGATTTTTAATTAACTTAATTAACTACAAAGTTATTTTAAACGATGGACCCAATTTAATAAATTCGTATTTATTCAAGTAAAAATTCAAAATAAATAATTCACTCAGCAATGGAAAGAATTGATTCTAAATTATTTTTTTTTAATATTTTTAAATTTTCAATATGTTCTCCCTGAGCGTTGGGTAACGCAAAAGAAATTAAGATCCGGCTATGAAATTCTGGCCACCGAGATCACCTGATCTCACCCCAGTCTCTTATACACATCTAGATGTGTATAAGAGACAGATCATCACGTGGGCATCAAATGAGGCTGAATTTGGTGCGTGTGGGCTGAGGTGTGGCGGGCGCTGCTGACATCGTGGCTTGAGGCGCAGTAGGGCACGCCAGCCTGCCAGGCCGTCAGTCCCTCTATATAAATGCTAATGTGGTCGTGATTTTGTCTTAGGAAAAGACGATGACGAGATGGAGAGAGTGGATGAAGATGAGCTCTGAAATCGGGACCAAAGTAAAATTCAGCTTTATTTCCCCTAGAAATTCCGAGATGATGACAAAGTTTAATAGCTTCAGAACCTCTATTTACATTATTTATGATATTACGGTAAGCGGGGATCGTTTTTCTTCAGAAAACTCTATGCGAGTTTTTGATTATCTAGATACATGTGAAGCTTCCGGGGTTGGATTCGCTGTTGAATCTAATTTTTTTGCAGGTGTCAGGTCGTGGGACGACGAACAATCTGCCATTCATTTGCGTTACCTTGACCTCAACGATGAAAAGATGGAACAGTTTTTTTCCGGGAATGAAAAACACTTGCAAACAGCGTGTCATGCATCCTCTCTCCCGCTGTACTCGTTCTAAAAAATATCGATTTCATTCCGGAGACTTCTCAGCCAGCACATTCTCCTATTGCTAACAGTTGCGAAGCTAACTCTTTAATAAAGGTAAATTCTNAAGTGAACATGTTGCATTGTTTTTTGTTGCATTGAGATTTAATTTCTTTTGATAGTATTTTTGAATACTATGCGTCTCTATACATAATTTAAATCACTTTTCCTGTTAAGTTTGTGTACTTACATACATTAAAATACGATTTTTCAAGTGTACGAATATTTATTTCCCCCCACTGTATGCTTTCTTGTGCGTGGGACGAGTTTGGCTACCGTTTAGATGTTTGCCGTGCAGCACTATATAGGGGACATATTGAACATTTATAAATAAGTAAAATAATTGACATTTTCCTCTTCATTGGTGTATGAATGATTTATTTCTAATTCATACTTGAATAATACCAATTTATTAAATTGGGTCCATCATTTAGAATAACCTTGTATTACTACCTGATGGGACTCGACGCCCGGCGAAAAAATGTACCTAACTCCTATTGGCTCACAGAAAAATTTCTAGAAGACCCTTTTTGCTGGTAATTTTCCCAGTAGTCGTCGTTCAAAGAATTGACGTTGAATCCCCCTCACTAAGCCAATTTTATCTGATCAATGTCATTTTTAACTCCAAAAATGTTGTAAATTTTACTTTAATAATCCAAGTTCATTTTTTACGCTCTACTGCAGGCATTTGAAATTTTTCGCTAGAAGTAAGAATAAACAATTAGAAAACTATCAGGAGCTAGAAGCTAGAAGTAAGAGCTTTACAAATTTTTTTGTTTCTTCTCGAAAATCAATTTGCAATTTGTTGTTATAATCGCTGTTTTCGTGGCGTTAAAGTCTCATTCAACCGAGAGATGACATCTATACAAACGTCACTTCCTTCATTGGTGTTATTCAAAGCTCTCAATCCTTCCAATATCACGCGAGATTATCTTCTTAATCAATAATGCTTCTATCAATACACTGTTTCTTACGTAATCACATTCTAATTGGTGCGTCATCAAATCATGAGTTGTTTATTTGAAAGTGTGCCTATATTACAACCTTCTGCTGATATACGTGGTCAACGGACATAAAGTTTCTTGCAATACGAAATGTAATGCAATACGAAAGTCTCGAAATGCAATACAATACGAAATGAAGAACGAAATACGAAATGCAATGCAATACGAAAGTCTCTAAATGCAATAGGTACAATACGAAATTCTCGGAATGTAATACGAAAGTCTCGGAATTCAATAAAATACGAAATGAAGAACGAAATACACAAAGCAATACGAATTGCAATGCAATACGAAAGTCTCTAAATGCAATACAAGACGAATGCAGTACGAAAGTCTCGATATGCAATACTATATTACAACCTTCTGCTGATATACGTGGTCAACGGACATAAAGTTTCTTGCAATACGAAAGTCTCGAAATGCAATACAATACGAAATGCAATACGAAATTCTCGGAATGTAATAAGAGTCTCGAAATGCAATACAATACGAAATGAAGAACGAAATACGAATTGCAAAACGAAATGCAATGCAATATACGAAAGTCTCTAAATGCAACACAATACGAATGCAGTACGAAAGTCTCGATATGCAATACGAAAGCCTCGAAATGCAATGCAATACAAAAGTTTCATATTTTTCAGAACCATGAAATTTTCAAGTACATGATTATCAGGAATTTTCTGATATTGTTTTAGCTGATCAGCGAATTCTTAAATTTTAATGAGTGGTCAATACTCTGCTACGTGGATAAAGAGTTTCACTGCTACTTGGATCAAGAGTTTCACTGCTACTTGGATCAAGAGTTTCACTGCTACTTGGATCAAGATTGCCAATTTTCAATCATGAAACTGACCAATTAATGTTAGAAAGAAACGAAACTAGTCAGTTTTGCCTATTCTATTTCATTGATCTGGTGAAACAGTAGCTAATATACTGGGTTCTGAAATATTTTTATATGTGTCACATATTTCTTAATAATTCTATGGATAACAACGTTGTGGAGACTGGGTGCTTTCAATGCGTTTAATATTACTTCCCATTTTCTAGAATTTCCTTGTTCACGAAGCTATAGCGACTATCATATCACTGCTGGCGCATGAAAAAAAACAACATATTGTAATGATACATTGCTTGAAACTGCCATTCATGTCATAAAAAAGGTTGGCGTGGTGCCGACCTTTTTGCCATTGAGTAATTAATTCTTTTTTTAGGCAATGTGCATAAATACTTGGGGCCAAATACAAACCGGTATTTTTGTTCAGGGGCAGCAATTGCATTGACCAAAAAGTGCAGGGCTCTGATGTTGCCTGAATCAAAAGGCGCGACGTCGAATAAATAGCATATAATAAAAAAATGAAGCTGAATTAAGTATCTTTTCCTTCTGCGATTACTGTTTTTATTAGAATGATGCACCTACTATGGCCCAATTCGGTTTTCCTCGTTCATTTATCACATCTTATCGAGTCATCACTATTTCTTATGATGTTCGTATATACATGTATATACGTACGTTCAAGGCACGTGTGTGTTGGCACGTTTAAAATATATTTTTTCGCATTTTATCCTGCATTTTCAATATCAATATTTTATCAGAATTTGTAATTTTCAGGACCCATTAGTTGCTCAATAAAATAAAAAAATATATATTTAATTGTTAATATATACCTATCAAAATGTTCCGGTTTCAATTGCTGATTGTGATCCTTGTAACTTTCATACCGAAGTAAGAAGTATGATGCGTGTGCGCGTTACATCGGTGGAGTATGATGCGTGTGCGCGTTACATCGGTGGAGTATGATGCGTATGCGCGTTACATCGGTGGAGTATGATGCGTAAGTATTCGTGTGAGCGTATAATCAATGGAGTATAATGCGTGTGGGCGTATTATCAATGGAGTATGATGCGTGTGAGCGTATTATCAATGGAGTATGATGCGTGTGAGCGTATTATCAATGGAGTATAATGCGTGTGAGCGTATTATCAATGGAGTATGATGCGCGTGAGCGTATTATCAATGGAGTATTATGCTCGTGCATGATGGTACGTGAAGGTTAGTCGCACATTCTTCAAGCAATTTGCTGAAGTTCTTGCTTCGTTCACGTCCTTATCATGATATATAAGACAGGAAGAGTTAATGTTTTTCTTTTTTGTCCGTTGAAAAATGTGATTTTTAAAAGTTTTTTATTTGTTTTATTTTATTGTTTTTGGTTTTGTAACCACCAGAAAAATATTTTTAAAAATGATTTTTTATATTTATTTATTTTCTAATTTTTAGTTTAAAAATTTTAGTAGGCATATTTCACAAAAACTTTAATTTGCTGCTATAGAAAATCTACGTGTCCATTCCAGAGATGTCGTGACCAATGTAATCAACAAATTAAGACTCTGCCAACGAAATGTAAATTTGTCAACAAATTCTAACTATATATCCACAGATTTACACCCTGTAAACATATTGTCAGTTGCCTTGATTCCCGAACATTGTATAATGAAGACTTATCTCATTTTTGGTCATGTGAAATCATTGTATAATAATTATACGGGCAATCTAACGTGCTAGGAAAGGAAATAATTTTTCCTACTAAGATTGCGTGCCAAATGACGATCAGGTCATCAGAATAGTGTTACACTTATCAACTAAATGTATGCGATATTTTTAACGAACGGAACCACTAGGGTAGAAATTGTTTGAGATTTGAATACTTCTGAAAATCCGTTATGAACTTTTTCTCGTGATTTTAGATTAGTGTAATAAATAACAAATTACCTTGTAAAAATTGCAGCTCGCTCTACATACAGTCTACTGATATGTTTTTTCTGATAGTCATAATCTGTTGTATTCGACTTATTGGCTATATATAGTGTCTCCCAAAGATACAATTATAAGTAGAGCAGAAGAAAGCCTTGAGTACCTTTGAAAAAAATAAATATTGCTATCAAATATTAAGTTTTTTTACGTCCATTGTAACGACTTACATAGATGACGATACGTGCGAATAGCTAGAGCGGTTATGAGAAGTAGTAGCTAATTAATATGAAGTAATAATGGTACGAGGCAGGTACATATATAGCTGGTGGTACTTGACGACTACGAGCTGGTCGTAGTCTCGAGCACGAGAGATATATGAAAAACATTGCTATAGGTTTTTGTAAGTGACTATTCAATATGATAGTGAAATTAAATCATGGATAAATTTTAGTTCTATTGGGCACCACCATTAAGAAGAGCTGCTAGAATTATAGTCAATTGGCAAACGAGTTTCATTTGAAGTAAGCTTATCCTTTCACTTTTTGCTTCAGCCATTTTCCAATTATGAACAATTTTCCTGCAAGCATGGGGAAGCTACTAAAGAAAAAACTTCACAGTCGCTAAAATTGAAGGCGGCATGCGGGTCTTCCCTTTATCTCTGCAACCATCCTCGCTTGAGCTTAAGCTTGGAAGGTTGAATCGTTGAAGATTGCTTCTTATTCGTTGTCTTAAACGTTGATTTGTTAATTTACAATATATATTACGTGGCAATTTTCCTACGATTCATTAAAAGAAGCGCATAAGGAAATAAATGTCAAATTGGCTAACCGAAGATTTGATTGCGTCTCAGTGATTGTCATTGCTTAAAAAAGTAAATAGTTTCAAAGTTGGGCGAAATCTGTAGGAAAAAGGTAGGTAAAAGTATTAAAATCACTTGTTTGCTTAAATCGCAAGTTAACTAGGAATTTAAAAGCAAAAACAATACCACAAAAATTCACCATTTTGTGAACTGACGATGGAGCTGGACTCCGAAACGTTTTCTCTTATAAAGATATGGTCAATTTTTGTGGTATTGTTTTTGCTTTTAAATTCCTAAAAAGGTAAAATTTTTAGCCTCGAAGATTGTGAGAAGGATTTGTTGACTGACGTTTGAAGAGTATGAAAATATATTGTATAAATATATTATGCCATGATTGAATATTGAATTTGATTAGTTTTTTAAATAGAGTTTGATTATTGATTTAGGTATTGAATTACATGACCAATTTAGGTATTGACTAGTCAGTTCATAGTTATTAAGTATCATGGGAAATTTAGGCAGTCCCCTAGTGAAAGAAATTCATATCATAAAAAAATTACAGCAATATTCATTCAAGATTAAAGCTGTATTATAAAGAAAAGTAATAATAATGCAAGCTAATCCATTTTCTGGTGATGTTGCTGGGGATGAATTCAAAGAATAATAATGATAAGAGAAAATTCATCCCATCATTATTCAGCCAGGCGATCGTTCGATCAGGTCGGCCCATGACCCAAATTGAATATATAAATGCTCAGTTTATAGAGTATTTTTATTAGAGATCAAGAATTATAGTGAGAAGATTACCACGACTCAGACTATTATATAATGAGTTGAGTCAAATTAATACCGGGAAAACTACTTAAAACACTGAAACAAACAAATGAACCGAAATAAATATGTAGCAATTAAATAACTGAGTTCAATTTGGATATATTCTTAATAAATTGGCAGCTAAAAATTTTGACCATTAAAATGTACAAGATATAGACGCGTGTCAATGAATTCACTCATTTTTTATTTACTCGAGAAAGTTCCTTGCACAGATCGGGTCACACTCGCAATAATAAAAAAAGTTGAAATAAATACAGATTCTGTTCAATTCCTGACAGAATCTGTTCAATAAAGACTTGTTTGAATATTATTTAATGCGTGGCCATAATGAAAGAATGATCCTATTTATCTGAGCTACATCCAATCTCAACTTAATCTACGGAATTAATGACGAACATTTGAATATGATAAAAAAAATATTTAAAAATACGATTCGAACGAAATTAAATTTACGAATGATCACAAAAACTCTAATTTGCTGGTATAGAAAATACAAGAATAATTGGAAAATAACAATTACAATGACAGAAAAATCAAATTAAACAAAAAATTATATTTTAAATTTTGCTCCTTTGTGAGATCGACTTTATGCCTACATTAGGTTCAGTGTAACAATAGAATTAGAATTATAACATAAATTGATATATACACGACAGTGATATCCGTTCTGAATTTATGCTCATAGTTCCAGTGAAATAGACACAGTTAATTCACTGCAAATATTTTCCCAGTGATATATGTACTATTTAAAATTCATTTACTTGGTCACATCCATGAATTTCATGCTTCTAAGCACAATTGATTGACTTTGAAATTATTTTCGGATATTTAATATGCTATGAACTAGAAAATAATGTAAAATTATGGAAATGAATATATGCTAATTTTTGCTATAAATAAGTATATTAGTAGTGGATGACAGAATATGTTCCTATATAAAAGTTAAACATCTGGTAAACACCTGGTAAAATTAACACCTGGTAAAGGTTTTAACTAAGTAATTTATTTCTCGTTTTCTTAATAAGTCCCACGAAATTTTTTGTTAGCGCTGATAGATAGCAAATCAAGATACAGAAAGACATTTTTAATATACTAACAAGGCTTCATACGTATGTCCGAAATCACTATCAAAATTAAAGGCGCATTGAATAATGAGATTTTAATTGACATATGAACGCAATCATATGAACGAAGTAGATTTTATACTACTTAAAAATTGGAGCCCGAAAATTAACTCGCAAACAAATTAAAATTTCTGGCAAATCCGTGAGTATGAAGATTGATGACTGGAGTCCTATATTGATGGCTGGAGTTCTATATTGATGACTGGAGTCCTATATTGATGGCTGGAGTTCTACAACGATGGCTGGAGTCCTATATTGATGCCTGGAGTCCTATATTGATGACTGGAGTCCTATATTGATGCCCGGAGTCCTATATTGATGGCTGGAGTCCTACAATGATGGCTGAAGTCCTATATTGATGGCAGGAGTCCTATATTAATGGCTGGAGTCCTATTTAATTGCTGGAGTCCTATATTGATGCCCTGAGTCCTATATTGATGCCCGGAGTCCTATATTGATAGCTGGAGTCCTATATTAATGGCTGGAGTCCTATATTGATGCCCTGAGTCCTATATTGATGCCCAGAGTCCTATATTGATGGCTGGATTCCTATATTGATGCCTGGAGTCCTATATAGATGCCTGGAATCCTTTATTGATGGCTGGAGTCCTACATTTAATGATGAGCGCATTAGCTATCGCTTGTCGAATGGCGTCGGGACATTGAATGATGATGCTGGTGGAATCTTCCACTGTTGTGCATTCATTGTTCGGTAAGTTTGATGAGAAAACATGTTGAAATTACGAATTCTGCGAGAAGAATAGAAATAAATAGAATGATAGCTGATAGTTAACGATCAATTTTTACTTCGCTATTAATTTGCATGCTGATAATGTATTTGAAATCATCCTCAGGTTTTTCTTTCTGCTGATTTTGCATTTCAAATTCTTCAATAAACAGTTACAGTTCCCGTTGAAAATATGTTTAGACGTTGTTCAAGAATTCTTACCGTCATGTTGTACCTAATTCTCACCGCTTCCATTTACTCGTCGTTTAAAGCGTTGTTTGGCCTATCGGTGACGGTAAGAATCAATTCAATGAAGGATCACGAAAGAATCGACGTTGAAACTCAGACAACTCCCTTTGTTCTCATCCTCTGCAACGGTAAGCACCTATTGTTGAATAGCAAATAAATTAATTAATTAATAAATAATTAATTATTAAATGCCATTGCTTTCCGTTGACTATTAACAGTTTTAACTTGGTTTCCTCGATTAAAACAGAATTTCCATAACACGCATTGCTTCTAAACTATGTCAGATCGTGATCACAAGAAGATACATCTTGTGATAACGAGACCAGCAGGTTAGTTAGTAGAGCAGAGTACATTTTTTGGTTTCAAAATAAATGACTGAATTCTTATGTGATGAAATTTCCTCAATAGAATGATCCAAAAGTGCAATTAATGTTTTCTTATTTTTCTCTAGTCATTCTCGTTTGGCGTTAAATAGTGCCTCAAAATTTGCCTCCAATATGGGTGTTGTGACTGAAAGCTCATGTTTCCACAGACGGAAACTACTTAAGATTCCCAGAAATAGCCATGACCAAGTTCGAGATTCAACTTCGGCAAGCAAAGACGCTTATCAAGTCAGCCGTAAAATTGAGTAAATCATCGATCAGGTAATGAGTTATTCCATTCTTCAGATAGGAGTCAACCCATTTGCAGTCATTCTTTGTATAAAATAAAATCTCAAATGGACGAATGTTTATTGATTGAGAGTACATTGAGTGTTCATATCATTAGTCTGTTCATGAAATTTTTTATCTATAAGTTTTTATTCCATTACTGTTTTCTTGTTACATAGGTTAATATTCTTTTCGGGTATATTTAGATTTCCACTGACGACTGTTTTTGTTTACACAAGAACTTGATGATGGAGCTGGTCTCCAAATGAATTTACTTGCGTTTTGTGGCTTTTAAAATCTCGTGAGTACTTCAAGTTCTACCCAATGTAGAAATTAACTTCGAGAGGGTAATTTATGATATGAGAAACGACTCATGATGATTTTCTGAACGAAACAATGATTGAAAATCCTACAAGTGACTCATACCTATCACATGACGACACTACAGCTCAGCAAATTTTTTCTTCTAACTGTAGGCCAATATAACACTTAATTAAAGGGCAAATGTGGCCACATCTAAGGGTACATTGTATAGTTTTATATGTACATTAAGGTTACGTATAGTGTTGACAACACCGAAAACACACTTAGTGTTCGATGCATTTCGACCATGTGTTGCAAGTGACTAAAGATCGTGATGAAGAATAAAATGAAGCCGTAGTTAATGTAGTTGTATGCGTCGTGCACGAAGGCCAAAAGTTCACTGGCCCGAGGCATGAAACTTGAGTGACCAGAAACACCCCCGCGAAGTTGAAATAATAGAGGTAAAGTGCCGACTTCGTGGGGAATTCGCGTATTGACTTTGAACATAAAAGCTGAAGAGCGACGCTTTAGTCAAGCTCAAAATTCCCTTGCGTTGAGGAGAGAAGGAAATAAACACGTCGCGAACTTTCGTAGTATACTGAAAATCTTCGCATAGGATCCACAAGTTTTCATACAAAAGCACACGAATTCTTCTAATAATGCAGGTAATCGTTATTTTCCTATTAACAAACGACGGTTCCAAACGACCGCCATTCACAGCTGCCGAGGGGACGGGCCCCAACACGTTGCTGGGGAAAGCGAGTGATGTGGGTACTAGCCACAACAAAACGCAGAGAATTAGACACTAATCCACACCAAGATACCAATAACCAGTTACAGCAGTCGGAGGCAAGAACAGAGCCTCGAAACGCCACTAAGAAAAGCAAGTGATGTGGGTACTAGTCACCAAAATACAGAAGGGTTGGACAGCGAGTGGCGTCGGATCTAGCCATGCCGAAACGCCCGAAGCAAGTCACAACTATCAATTGTTCTAGCCCCGATACGCTGCTGAGAGTAGCGAGTGATATGGGATCTAGCAACACCGAAACGGAAAAGAGAAAGACAGCTAGTGACGTGGGATCTAGCCACGCCGAAACGCCTTGAGCCGATTAATCCCGACTGCATAAGTAATTAACTCCCGCGAAACGAGAGGCGCGAATTCTGCGGGATCTAGTCGCACTAATACGCTAACAAATATACTCAAGTGCAGAGGGAGGGTATCTGCCCTCACAATACGAAAGGTACCCTCTGTACGGGTACGAGCCGCACCAGAGCACTGCCAGTAGGTGGTACCAACCAAGAACACTGCCTGCGCCGTATTTAGTCCGTTAGTAGAATCTCGTGTATACGCCTGGTTTAAGCAAGTGCCGTCTGAGTCGGTTAGGCTTGGCGATATGCCCAAACTACGGCAGTGCCTAAGTAGCCTTGTGGGGTAAAAGCCAGTCATTACCCACAGAGTAAAATAACAGGATTGAAAATGAATGAGACTGTAACTGAGATTTTAATGCAGTGAAAATTAATAACAAGGTGGGCTTTGAATATAAGTATTAAGTTATGGAACAATAGTATTAAGCCGAACGATAATGATCGAAAAAATTGTGTGCGCGACATTAACTTCCTAACGGTGTTTCCAAGGTAAATGTAAATTATAATTGTATTACAAATAAAACTCGCAAAAATTGCTAACACTACAGCCTGAAGTAATCTGAACAAAAGAAAATTATCTGTGTTTAGTCAAAACGGCAATCATAAAAAATATCGCATATATGTGTTCAGTCAAACTTAGTAACAACTGCCTCCTGAAGTTACTCTCTCTAAGTAACCGCATTTTAAAGTAAATTTATCTGTCATTTGAATCTAAATTATGATTTGAATTATTTGGAATTATCAGACTAGTTCCATTCAACAAGAGTTTTGGAGTATAAAGAAGCTAATCTGATGATAAAATGACTACGAATCACAGAAATTTAATTTCGAGTACGACCAACTGTTTGTTGTCTTCCAAGCATTATGATGATGAAATTTTAGTTAAATACAAACATTCACTCATGAATGCCATCAGATTAACTCAGTGTACCGTATTGTTTCGGTTCCTTTGTTGTTATTTATTGCGTCCGTCACGCTCGCCGAGGGGGAGGCTCAGGTGGAGGGCGGAGGGCATCACCGGAAGAGGGGGCAGATGGGCGAAGGCAGGGAGGGTGGACAGAAATGCCGCTGCCTCCACGGGGCTGTCCCACAACGAAGAGACGCTGAGGGACGTAGGGAAGGCGGGGCAGGCGAAGAGATGCTGGACCGACTGGAGGGGATCCCCGCACTCAGGGCAGGCGGAGCTAGGGAAGCGACCGATCCTAGCGGAGGATACTTAGCCAGGGAGCTGCAGTATCCCGAGCGGAGCTGGGATAGCGCCGAGCGGAAGGGGCGAGGTAGTGAGGCCTCCACCGATGCAATCGGCGGACGGCGGAGCAGTGAGGACGGCGTTTATAGCTTCATTCGCCGCAACGCGGAGGCGATCTCCCTGCGGAGAGACCGCTTGGCCTCTCCGTAGGCCCCGGCGGGCAACATACTATTTGTCAAGAGTGGTGTGACAAAGTGGCCGAACTTCGACTGGATGGAGGTTTTCATGGGGCGGTCCCCGAGTGGGGCAGAAACCATGGCAATGAGGCAGTCCAGGAGGTGTTGAGGAGTAGATGATCGCTGATGATGGCGAGGTCCGGAGAGAAGGGCGGGCCGTGTGAGGGGAGGCGGGTATGGGAATCCTCATTGAGGTAGGCGAGGGAGAAACCGGCGACGAGGTCGTCGACTACGGCTCATCGCGCTGCGGCTCTCTGGTGATCTTCCGTATGGGAGAACCATGAGGGGTGATGAACGTTTAAATCGCCTACTTTCAGGCAGTCGCCCGGTATGGAGACAATGTGAGAGAGCTCCGGGGAATATCCCCGGGGGCAGGAGGAGGCCGGTGGGATGTAGACATTGATGATGCAGAGAGGGGAGCCATTAAGTGGAATGGAGATTGCTATAGCCTCCATGGTGGTGTCGCCGCGTAGGAGGGGAGAGATGTCTCGCCCGGTATACGGGATATCGGGCCGAATCAGGATGAGGAGGCCGCCACCGTGACCGTCGGGGGCGGTTCCTGCGCTCCAGCGCGTATCCGGGGAAGGAGGGGGAGCGGGATGCAGCTGATAGCTTGGTTTCTTGGAGACAGGCAACCGCCACGTCGAACTGACACGGCTTATCTTTAATTATATCAGCCTTGATATACAGTGAGGGAAATAAGTATTCAGTCAGTCACCAATTATGCAAGTCCTCCCACTTAAAATGACGAGAGAGGCCTACAATTGACATCATAGGTTGACCTAAACTGTAAGAGACATAATGTGAAAAAATTGAGAAAATCATTTTGTCGTTTTTACAACACTTCTCTTTAACTTCACTTCTTGTCTGTTTGTTTGTTTGTCTGCTACAAATCTTGTAATCGAAATTTAATACACTTCTACTTATCCTATCGATCTGAAATTTTGCACACTTGTGTAAAGTTGGAGACAATGCATGAATCAAATGTCAAAATAAATGATTTTAAAATAATTTTTTTTCAATATTAAAAAATTAAAAAAATAATTTTTTCAGCTACAAATCTTATAACCGATATTTTACACACTTTTACCTGTCTAATTGATGTGAAATTTTGCACACTTGTGTGATGTATGAGGCAATGCATGAATCAATTAATAGAATAAGTAATTTTGAAAAAAATTCTACGTTAAAAATTTATATATTAAAAAAATTGAAAAATTAATTTTTTTAATATTCGAAAATTAAATGAGAAATTCATTGTACATCTGTATGATTGGAGACACTGGATTCTTTGGAAGTGTTGTATTTAAAAAGTAATTTTTAAACGTATATTACTCAAAAGATGTTGTTTGCGAATGATGGTGGAAAATAAGTATTTGGTCACCTAAACAAACACTCAAGTTTTCTGGCTGTCACAGACCTGTAGCTTCTTTTTCAAGAGACTTCACTTTCCCCCATTCATTACCTCCATTAATGGAACCTGTTTGAAGTCAACTGTATAGAAGACACCTGCCTACAACCTCAAATAGTGGGGGCGCAGCCGTAGGCTACAAATTTTACTCTTAAATAAGCCCTGGAGCCAACGCCTAGCTTCACCATGCATTAACTTTACTCAGCCTTAGACCTAGAAGCCGCAGACTATGCTTGAACTCTGTAAACCAGACAAGCGACACACTGCCGAAAGATAATAGCGCCATAGGTCTTCAGCCATTGCTTAAGCCTGCTCGCTCATAAGCAGGCAGTTCACCATCCGGCTGTACCTAACCTCTTCTAGCCTAACCTATTCACGCTGTCCCGGCTCACAACCTTCTTGCAGCCAATGACTGCTTTTACCAACACTTTTTGACCGCCTTTCTAACTTCTTGTAGCCAATGAGGTTAGATTAGGTCCGCTCAGGTTTGTTTTGGGTGGAGAAAATTGCAGCTTGTATAGGTTAAGCCTGAAGAGGTTAGGCCAAAGGAGTTTTGGCCAGATGCAATATGGCCATGTTTACCTTTGACAAGCTTATTTCGTGGTTGTGGACATTCGGCATTATGGCTTTGAGCACTTGACTTCATAGGCCGTTATGTACTCTAGCGTTCTTACCTATGGAAAGGAATATGAACTAAGTGTGATGCTTGGCAAAGCTGGCCTTCGGCATGCGCCCCAAAACAGTCACACTCGAAACTCCATTATGGTGAAGACGAAAGAGCTGTCGGATGACACCAGAAACCAAATTATAGACCTGCACGAGGTTGGGAAGACTGAATCTGCAAAAGGCAAGAAGCCTGTTATGAAGAAATCTACTGTGGGAGCAATAATCAGAAAATGAAAGACCGACAACACCACTACTAATCTCCCTCGATCAGGATCCACGCGAGATCTCAGCCCGTGGGGTCAAAACGATCACAAGAACGGTGATGAAAAATCCCAGATCCACAAGGGGGATCTAGTGAATGACCTACAGAGAGCTGGGACTAACGTTACAAAGGCTACCAGCACGCTTGAAGTTCGCTAGAGAGCATTTGGATGTTCCAGAAGAAGAGTATTGGGAAAATGTCATATGGTCAGATGGAACCAAAGTAGGACTATTTGGTAAAAACACAACTCGTCGTGTTTGGAGGGAAGTGAGTGCGGAGTTTCATCCACATAACAGCATACCAACTGTGAAGCATGGGGATGGCAACATCATGCTTTTGGGCTGTTTTTCTGCAAAGGGACCAGGACGGCTGGTCCGCGTACATGAAAGAATAAATGGGGTCATGTATCGTGAGATTTTGTGTGCAAACTTCCTTCCATCAACAAGGGCAATGGAGATGAAACGTGGTTGGGTCCATCAGCATGACAATGATCCCAAGCACACTGCCAGGGCAACAATGGAGTGGCTTCGTAAGAAGCATTTCTAAGTCCTAGAGTGACGTAGCCAGTCTCCCGATCTCAACCCCGTTGAAAATCTTCGGAGGGAGTTGAAAGTCCGTATTGCTCGCCGACAGCCCCAAAGGATCACTGCTCTAGAGAAGATCTGCATGGAGGAATGGGCCAACAGGCCAGCAAATCATTTGCACCATCATTTGCAAGTAACATCTTTAAAAGTCCGACAAAATTATTTTATCCATTTTATTTCACATTTTGTCCCTCATAATTGAGGTCTACCTATGATGTCAATTGCAGGCCTCTCATCATTTTAAGTGGGAGAACTTGCACAATTGGTGACTGACTAAATATTTATTTTACCCGCGGTAATTTAATCCTCAATGACTCCTCGTTTGCAGTTTTTGTTCGTCTGCTGAGGGGATAATTATTTTTCCATAATAGATTCATCATCTTGGGTAACGACGACACTGTGCTGCTTGCTTTGAAGACGTTCGTGTCTGAGTGGCCGCCACTCCTCAGAAGTCGCCTCACTCTCAGCTACCGCCCAGTCTTCATACCAGAGGGCTGGCACTTGATGGACCTCTACGAGAAATGCGTCACGGAAAAGTTGTTCCTGCCGTGGGTGTTGCCGGAGTTTGACGCGGTGGTGTACATGGACACAGACCACGTGTTCATGAGGCCTCCTGAACACCTGACTCAACACTTCAAGTATTTTGACGAGAAGCAGGTGCTGGGAGTGGCGCCTGTCGATGGATTTTACTTGCAGTTTAATACTGAGGCAAGAATGAGGAATCTTGTTCATATCACCTTTAGTAGAAGTAAAACTGTCGTTTTACATGAAAATTATATTTTTAATTGTTTTGAGAGTATAGTTGTACAATATATCCAGTATCCACATGCAGAATTACAAAAACTAGTAGCAGAATAATGGGATACGATTTTCAACCGAGGAGTGAAATTCTTCACAGATTTTCGACTGATAGATATTGATTTCTTTTTATGATAGTTCTCTTCCTATGAAAGTATGCTATTGCTGAGACTGTGAATTTTTAATTTTTCAGTTTAACTCAAAGCTTCATTAAATAAAATACTCTCATTAGTTTCAAGTTGTAAGTTATTAATTTCACTGAAGTAAAAAAATACGGCAACAACTCTTATGATTACTACTTACAGATGCCATACTACGGCAAGCAAGGCCTGAGCTCAGCCTTATTAGTGGCTAATCTCACGCGGTGGCGTAGCCTCCCCTTCGACTGGCTGCCCTTGGTCACGAGCGTGGCAGAAGTCTTCAAAGACAGCGTCCTGGGAGACCAAGCTATATTCAACATCGTGTTTAGTGAGGTTAGTAATTTTCAAAGTGGTTAATAATTACGTTTTGCCAACATGCTACAATATTTATTAATATTAACACTTGTGAACCTGAAGGTCTCTTAGGGGAAATCCGCGAAACCAGCCGCACGTACGTTATTCAATCACTTTCAAATGGCAATTATTATCTCACAGTCAGCCTATAAAATAGTTTTATAGTTTTTGAATTTATATTTTTGTCACACATCAAAGGCTTTAAGGTGTGAAAAATGTAGTTTAATCATCCGTTCAGGATCTAACATTCGGTTCGGCAATAATATTAAATTAATTAAAAATATGCAATCAAATGTGTATGAACAGAGTTTGAATGACAGTATTTGTTCAAAATCGCTATTTAAAATCGTGCGCCAGTTTCCAGAGTACATCTATGACCTCACCTGCGACTGGAATGGCAGCATAGAACAATGTCTGTCACCTAACTGGAACTGCAGCTCCATTGAGCAAACAGGCTTCTCTTTGGTCCATGGGGCGAGGAGGAGATTTTTTGCAGAATTCTTCGAAGAAAACTACAATGTCTTTCACCTAACTGGAACTGCAGCTTCATTGAGCAAACAGGCTTCTCTTTGGTGCATGGGGCGAGGAGGAGATTTTTTGCAGAATTCTGGAAAGCGAAGGACATCCGTTTTATGGTCCCAATGAATGTGAGCTTTGCCATCTACACTTATTATGCTTTCTAATTAGGCGCAATATTATTAATTGCTCGGATGAGGTATTTTTTACATTTTAATTGGAAGTAGAACTAGAGTCAAATCCTCAGTCACTCATTTTGTTGTTTTTTAACACTAACCCGTTATTCTCCTTAGCCCTCTTTTTGACCACTCTAACTTCAACATGCCTATAAATCGGATTTTAATTTCACAAGGTTTTTAATGTCAATTTTTCAGGTTTATTTGAAAACACCAACCTTGGCCTGGAACGATGGCACCAAGAGTTTATGAGCTTGTAGGTGGTTGAACATGGGGATTGTTGTGTATATATATGTCTTACGCTGTATTTAAATTTCGATGGAGAAGACGACATCCTTTTGAGTTGGGTCTTCCTGGTATTCTGAATGAGTTAGCTGGGAGGCGGCTGGTGTTGATGCTGACGATGATTAAATGGATCTCGTAAAACGTGGAAAGCCAAGCACACCTACGCCTGGTCTGTCAAGTTGCTCATTCCAATAATTTCCATATCGTCCACAATGGAAGTTTGATTGAAGTATGTGAGACTCACCTTGCTGCTGTAAGTTGTGGTGGTGGTCGGGTGCCACTAAGAAAATGAGGTGAAGCAAGATGGTCGCGGGAAAGGAAGAGCAGACAAAGATACGCCACGTGGATTTGAGTGGCTCAACACACCCAGGGTAGGCGGCGCTTTGATTTCGTCCGACCCTGGAGGATTGGGATGCCAGTAACTGCACGGGCTCGAGCTATGCTGGACCAGCGCAGTGGTGCGGGAGGTGATATCAGGCTTCTTCTAAGGCAGTGGGAGGTGGTGGGGAAGCCAGAACCCTTGTTGCTGCCAGCGGCTTTGGCAACCCGGACGAACATCTCTTGGCGGAGTGTCCGATTTGCTCCTCCGTATAAGAGCCGGCAGACAGTATGACGTCCTCTAGGAGGGAGGTCACAATGTGACCAAATCTGAACCGGAGTAGCATTAATGGATTCTGTCTTCGGGAGAAGGAGAGACGATGGGATTGTAGGGATAGCGAGACCGAAGGGCGCCAGCATAGATGGAGTACAGTGATGCTACCTGGAACTTGGGTGGAGGATTTGCTGACGGCGTGAATGGTGGACTGCGCCCGATTAAAAGAGAGGAAGTCTCTAACAGAAGTGTGCCTTGATCAAATGTGGCGCACAAGACGTCGAATAGTGAGTGGGGCCGTGGACATGGGAACAGTAGATGGATGTAAACTTCTTGCAGAATGCGGAGGTTATCTTGCTTTGGGAGTTGAAGGAAGTAAGGAACTGTATTGGTTGGCCAGGGGCGGAAGGAACTGTATTGGTTGGTCAGGGGCGGCCGGGAGGGTTTCCCGGCGAGTGAACGGAGAAAGTTCAAGAGCTTGGAAGGGTTGATGCGTCTGTCGCAAGACTTTAGTGACCCCATCAGGTCTCTCTGGAAAGGGACTACAGCTGGAGGATGAGTCATGTTTATGGTGGATGAGTTGTCTTGCGTTGTCGAGATCGATGAATCCGTTTCTTAAATCAAAGCTGCCGTCGGTGGTTTTTTAATAAGGCACGTGAAGTTTAATTTAGTAGCTGAGTCACGGTCCGGAAATTTTATACCTATATTGTAGAAAGTGTGATGAAATTGCACTCAATCCTTGCTGACGGGAGTGACGAGCAACATGGGCTTTGAAGATTTTTGGTGTATGTTTGATTTGCTTCGAGCTTGTGAAAGTCGGGTTGTTTGGTTTTGTTTTATTTCAGTTTTATGGCATGTTTTAGAATGTCCACCTATGTTTGGTTGACTATTGACAGGATTTTTTACGGAAATGTTTATCATTTGCACTGAATGACCTGTCTGCGGTACGGATATTTGTCGGCATGTGTACGATGTTTCCTGAGGCAGTTGAAGTGTTTCTTAAATGACTTGGTACATTGGGTTTAAATGTGTTCCTTGTGTATAAGTGCGGTACTTTACTTATTGATCATGAAGGTTTGGTTGCAGGGCAAAAATGGGTGGGATGATCTTCCATCTTTTAACATTGATAGCAACTAATTAGATAAGCGCATCATTTGCTCGCACTGTGATTGAGGGATGGATTTTTGAATTTCAACAGTAGGAGCTGTTGATCAGTATCCTTTAGACTATTGCGGTATAACATAAGCTGAATTTCATGAAAAAGTGTGTATAGCTTTATTTTTTAATTTGTAATTATTACTGTATTGGTTATTGTGACTGACACACTCTAAGTGCAGTTGTCTTAGGAAAATTGTTCGTATTGAGCGTAGGTGGTATAACGTACGTCAAGTTGATTTTTCAATCATTCAGTGATATCGGTGGCTTTAAGAGAGGTGAATGTATTAATGGCACAAGCATCGTCCATTAAAATGTGAAATCCGTTTGTTATATGTCAGTCGAGAGGTGCGTCTAGTTCCTTGAAGCTCGTTTGGATTCGGTAAGTCTGGAAACGCAATCGTTCAAAAGATGAAGGTTGGTAAGGTAGACTGAGATTTGAGGATGGGAGCCGGTGATGTGATGAGGATGTGAGTTGTCGAGGTCTGTAGTGTTTGAAGCAGGGGGGTTTGCGTTGGTTCCCCTATCTCTCAGGGAAGGGCCTTGTGTTCGGGGCGAGGGCACCACCTGCAGGAGGTGAAATCTTAGTGGCAAGCGCTTACGGATAAATAGCTGCTAATCCACGAGGGTAAGAGAGAGTACAAGACCCTTGAGTATCGCACCAAAAACGATTGTCACTAGAGGCTACTTCAAGGTGCACTGTACACAGGTGGTATTATAAGCATCAAATTAATAGATTGCTTAAGTCGCAAGTTTACCAGGAATTTAAAAGCAAAGAAAACAGCCAGAATATTAACCATTTCTTAAGAATGAAAACGTTTCGGAGTCCAGCTCCATCGTCAGTTCAAAAGTTCAAAACCTATAAGAAAATCAGAATCAATTAGAAAACTAAATTCACATCGAAGATAAAAACATAATATGACAAAATAAAAACAAATACACATAAGGAGACAGGCCTATATATTTACAATTTCAAGGGGATAGGAGCTGAAGGCTGCATTTAAACCAGGTTTCTGTTTAAAAATAGGAAGTGTCAAACCGAAGTACTTCACATGGATCACTTCCACAAGTCTGCAGCTTGAACCTATACGCTTCTAGGTTGTATGGCGGTGAGTCGTAGGGGCCGTTGGGCATTTTTGAGGGTATCCTTCTAGTATATGTTTCGAATGTAGCAGTCCCAGGTCACGATATATCGCAGCCTCTGACTATCGCGCATCCGCCTTCACTTGGGCCAGCTGATGCACGATGCTGTTGCTTGCTTCTCGCTGCTAGTAGTCGTGCAGGGGCGTCGACTAAATTTTCTGTTTTTAATGCACCAGCCTACGCCTATCCGTATTTCTGGGGGTGACCGCTATCTGGTTGTTCAAACTCGCTCGTTTTCTCATGAGGGTAAAAGGACCTCTGTTCCCAAGCAGCATTATAACTTGGGATCCAAAACGTCACCACCACTACAGAGGAGCACCAGGCATCAACAAAGATGCGATGAAAAGATGCCATTGTGCTTTGCGATCGCAAACTTTGTTGTGAGCAGAGGGAACTGCTTATGGATATTGCACTCTTTAGTTATTTTATTATTGGAAGAAAATCGGGAATATAGAAGTGATTTGTAACTGCTAGCGGTATTTAAATGTTAATTCTGAGGATCAAAAGCAGCGCCACTCTGCACATGCAGTGCAGAGTGGCGTAATGCCCACGAACTTGTCGGGAGGCCTTGCTTTTTGGTTGTCTTAGCATTTATGACAGACTGTGTGGTCGCCGAGAAGTCTGGTCTAGAAAGAAATTCGCTTAGAGGGTCGTTTATATGAGGAGGGAAAAGTGACATACACAAATT